AAAAGAAGAGGTTTGGTTTGGTATTTCTACCCTCACTTGCGGTCACGACCTCTGGGTAGTGACCAAAAGAACAAGATCATGGATACAGGTGGTCAAGATGAGTTTTCTCTGCAGGGTAGCTGGACTCTCCCTCAGAGATAGTGAGAAGTTCGGTTATCCAGGAGAGACTCAGAGTAGAGCCGCTGCTCCTCCACATTGAGAAGAGCCAGTTGAGGTGGTTCAGACATCTGGTAAGGAAGACCACCAGATGCCTCCCTAAGAAGGTGTTCCAGGCAAGTCCAGAAAGAGACCCCAGAAAACCCAGGACATGCTGGAGAGACTTTCTCTCTTGGCTGGGAATGTCTTGGAGTCCTCCCAGAAGAGCTGGAAGAGGTGGCTGTGGGGGGAAGATGTCTGGGCCTCCCTGATCAAGCTGCTGTCCCCACAACTTAACTCACAAAGAAACGGAAGTGGATGGCTGGATGGATGGATAGATGATCAAGTTGTTTAAAGATGGCAGCATTCCATTTTGCTATTTGTCCAAATCTGACTGTTAGTTCATAAATCAAGTCAGAATTGATTTCTCTTTCACCAAACGTCGCTCAGCGATCAACACCAGGTAAGATACTGATTGTTTGTGACTTTTTCACAAAACCTCCAAAAGGCCCGAAATAATCCAGTAAAATCACAGGAGACCTGAAACTACAGTAATTGTAAACATGTGAATGTCAAAAAATGCTTTGGTCAAAAGTCATGGATGTTTTTATTACTATGGCTGAGAATTGCATCTCTGCCCATGAACCATATGTTTGGGTTAGCAGCGAGCTGGGTGAGGAGCTGGGTTCAGCTTGCAGCTGCTGCCAAGGACACCTCCTGCGCTCGGTGAACTCCACTGAACTGATAAGGACATAAAAGCAAACTGAAGGCAGCTTGAGGCAGATTCTCATGGTCTTCATGTGTGTACTTGTGTGTGTCCTCAAAATCTGACATTGCAAGTAAAATCCCAGTTACAAATATTCTCCTCCTGTCGATTGTGGTTCTTTTTGAGTAAACAACGTAAGTGAGACTATTTTTCTCCAACAGTGAAAAATTAAACTGTTTTTATGGTTGGTTGTCTTTCATAAATTAAGGATAATAGCTATATTATTATTATAATCATTTTTTAATGATAATAATAACAATAATAAAAGCTAACTACAGTGCCTCCTGCTGTTTGCTGATGGTGTTTGTTGAAGCAGCAGTTTGGAGCACATTCTGCAGAATAAAGTCTCGACTTTTAAAATAAAGTTCTCATGAACAAACCTAACTGCTGACATCTTGATCCACTACTGCTGAGCTCCCTCAGGGCAGGCAGGACAATCAATAACTCACCACAGCCACAGAGCTAATCTCAAGCTGTGCTCACAGAAACTTGAAAATTTAGTCAGAGTCAGAGAGATTTTTTTTTGCCATACACACCACATGTAGTACATGAGATGGGACGAAACCATGTACACAGGGTCCCAGTTACGTCCAACAAAAACACAAATTGTAAAGAAAAACTTTAGTAAGATCCGAGTCATGAACTAAGAATATACTACATTCAATAAACCAAAAATACACAAGACCAAGAATATGCTAAGCACTAATGGTACAAAAACAATGCGCCAAAACAACAGCAGCACGAACATGAGTCCGAGCGAGCAGATGAGGACCAATGAACACAGCAACACAAAATAATCAGCAGCATGAGATCAGCATCATGGATAGTCAGCAGCACACATCAACAACCAAGTGGCATTACAGTGATTTTTCAGTTTTTTCAAAGTGATTATTCTGGTTAGAGATTCATGAGCAGGGGTCTGCAACCTTTACGATCCAAAGAGCCATTTCTGCTCCTTCACTCACTAAATTAAAATGTCCAGAACCACAAAACTTACCCCATGATCATCTACAGGTGGCCCATGGATCACTTTAAGTTTGTTGCAGGAGGCTCAGGCCAGTAGGAGTGACATAAAACTACAAATATCTAATGATTTTAAACATTCATTGATATTTTTACATTTTAAGGCAAAGGAAAAGACAGGATTATTGTAAAGAAAGATTTATTTTTATAGCTTTTACCAATTAAAAAGAAAAAATTTAACAATGGTAGCACAAATTTCAGTTTACATTTCCAAAGTAAGTTTTATTCATTCAATGCAGTCAAATTTGTTCATAATTTTATTATTAGCAGTTACCGGAACGCACTTTGTCAAAATCTGAGAGTTCCCAGATCCTGTTCCGGCAGGATCCATTTAAAATGAAGCCCTGTCGCACAGTGATAGCTGAATTTGTGCACTACTGACCCCCGTGACCCAAAAAGGAAGAAGCAGGTAAAAGATAATGGATGGCTAGATGGAAGGATGGAAATTTAAACAATGAGCTATGCAGATTTAGTGTTTTTTTTATCGTGGAAAAATTAAGTATCCTACTTTAAAGAAATAAAGCATAAAGTTAAAGTATGTTTTACTCCTTGTATTAGTACTAGTATTCACAAATTTGCTAAATAAATGACATGAAACTGTTAAAACTGGCACTGGTTTGTCCGTTTTGGTCAAACCTTGAAAGATCCGCTCCAGAGGAACCAAAGAGCCTCATGTGGCTCCCGAGCCACAGGTTGCAGACCCCTGTTCATGAGTCTAACAGCCTCTGGGTAGAAGCTGTTCCTCAGCCTGGTGGTTCTACACTTAATGCTCCTCAGCCTTCTGCCTGAGGGGAGCGGGGCAAAAAGTGTGTGTGCTGGGTGTGTGGGGTCCTTCATGATGCAGGAATGGGGAGGCTGACTCCAACAGACTTTTGTGCAGCCTTCACCACTCTCTGCAAAGCTTTTCTGTCTGCAGCTGTGCAGCCTCCATGCCACACGTTGATTGAACGCTCGGTTCACCAAATAATGGCTTTCCAGACCTGTTTTCTTGTTACTGTTGTTCTTTTTCTTCTTCCTCCTCCTCTTCCTCCTCTTCTTCTTCTGGCTGTTTACTTGTCAGGGACAGACTGCAGGCTGGCCCCAACTTGATGCCGTGGCTCTGTGGAAGTGCAACATCCAGGCTAGACTGGTGTTGGAGTTTCTTGTTTACACAGAGACACTGGACACTTGGAGAATTTTGTGAAATTGTGAGGACTTAAGAAGTTGTTATGCACCATTTCTGATCAGGGAGAACTGCAATACAACAAGCTCCTCATGTAAATATTTTATTTTAAGCTTGTCCTGATCACCTTTTTTGACATTGTTGTGTTAACTTATTGTGTAAATAAAGTTTTGTTAAAAAAACCCAAAATCTTCTTCCTCCTCTTCTTCTTTGCCAAGAACAATGTTCAGGCTCCACTTTTCCATTCATTGGGTTAATTTGCAGCTGGGAGAAAAGGAGGAGGAGGAGACGCGCAAAGCGGAGGGAGGCGCAGACTGTTGAGGAGTTGCCAGCAGAACATCAGTGTGCGCGCGTGCAGCAGCAGGAGCGCGAGGTAAGCCGGAGGTGTGATGCTCCTCGTGCACCTGACATCAACAAGTGAGATATTTGTGGTTCAGGAGGGAAACGACGCACATCTGGAGACATGAAGATGACACAGAAGTGGCTTAGTTAATGGCTTTTTGGTAAGCTTATTTAAAATTATTTAAATTAACAACCTTAATATGAATTATTATGATTAAAAAAAAACATTATGTTGTCTTCACAACACTTAGGCATCATTTACAACAAAAAGACTGCTTCATGCCCACTTTATGCTTCTTTTTTTAATCTAATTTCACTCCAAAGCTCTACTTTTGGTATATTTTAAATAAGCTGGACAAACATTCAATTTTTTTTAATTGTTTAAACTTAAATAGCCATTTGCACAATGTTTTCTTGTTGAAGTGGACACTCGTTGCCCTTATTAAAGTGTGCATTTGCAGGATAAAACAGAGAAATTGGCTCATAATTACTGAGCAAATGACTAACACGGTAAATTACAAATAATTACCCAGACAAGAAGGACCTTACGGATGTGCCTGTTTCATATCCCCACTGCTGCGCTTGTGTATAAATGTATTTTCCACACCTGCTGCTGAGCTCAGACCAATAAAACTGCTGATGGGCTCGATTTAAGAGCCCCAACAGAGGGAGAGAGATTCTGACATGAGGCCTGATGCCACATAAAAAAGGTGGCACAGCGGGTCAGAAAAACCAGAAGACACACAGTGGATGACCTTGAACCCAGCAAGGGGTTTTATGTGTGATCAGTTTAGTCCACAAGAGAGTGCACAGCCCTGGAGTGATGGTGCTCCCGCAGGACAGATGGAGTAAATTTAGAGTCTGTGGCTATTCTTATCACAGGACTGAGAATGAGAGACGGCAGCCCTTGAAATGAAGGAGCTGTGGAGGAAAAAAAAAAAGGGGTGGAATCCTATGGAAGGGCTGTATTTGTTACAGCTTGTTCCTTCTTCAGCTGTGAAATCCTGTAACTGAGATTGATATGAGCCATGCTCCAAGATCAGAGGCAAAATTACACTCTGCCTAATTGAATGGGAAAATGCATTTGTTGACCTGTAGGTAAGTGCTCCTGCTGCTTTATGAGATTTGCAGACATGAAATGGATTTTTCCTCCAAAATCGCATTATTTATTTTCTAAACACTGTGCACATTGGAAAAGACAAAATGTGATGCTTTACCCTGCCAGTACACTATAACTTGCTTTTCAGATAAAGACTAACACTGTTTTTGTTTTTTCAGTACACAGGGTGTGGACTTCAGTGCTGCTCATTCCGTTTTCTGATAATCTCAGCATCCTCACAAAAAACCTTGATACCGCAGCTGGATCGCATTTAAAAGGCAGCCTGATTTCTGGATGAGAGCACGCCTTCAAATCGATATTAATGGATTATCTTCAGTTAAGCTTCCATGTTTTTGTAAATAACTTTGGCGTTTTTAACTCTAATGAAGTGATTATCAGCATTTTATGCCAGAAACCAGACTGAACCATGACTCCCTTTGCCTGACAGGTCTTGTGGAAAGTCACTGCTAATAATGCAGGACTTTGCAGGGCCTGGTATGTCCAGGAAGACCCTGATTTTTGAAGGTTTTGCCCTGTTCTGGGGCTTGTTTTTTGGAATACTTGTTACAAAAGTATCAGTGATGGCTTGTCCCGTGAGTTGTCTATGCATAGAGAAGAATGGCTTTACAGTTGTTCAATGTATGTCTCGCAACCTGGAAAAGATCCCACCAGATCTTCCTAGAGATACGGTCGTCCTGCTTTTAGCGGCCAACCACATCACCCACATCCCCAACTACGCCTTCAAAGAACTGCACTACCTTCAGGAACTGGACCTGTCCAACAATGACATAGAGACTGTGGACGTCGGAGCATTTCAAGGCGTTTCCGACAGCCTCCTTGTGCTGGATTTATCAAACAACCACATCCAAAGTGTCCCCAAAGAGGCGTTCGCTCGACTGCGAGCAAAAATCAGCCTCTCGAACAACCCGTGGCACTGTGAGTGCACACTTCAGGAAGTCCTGAGGGAGCTGCGCCTGGACCCTGAGACGGTCAACGAGGTGGTCTGCCACACGGCGGTGCAGGAGGAGTATGCGGGCAAACCGGTCATCCAGGTGCTGGACTCAGGGATCAACTTCTGCAACTTTCACCACAAGACCACGGATGTAGCCATGTTTGTCACCATGTTCGGATGGTTCACCATGGTGATCGCCTACGTTATCTACTATGTAAGACACAATCAGGAGGACGCCAGGAGGCATCTGGAGTACCTAAAGTCACTGCCCAGCAACTCTCAGATCAGCAAGGACTTTGACACCATCAGCACGGTTCTTTAGCAGGAGGTTTGTGTGCATCTTGGATTTTCAGAGTGACTATAAAGCTGCTGAAACGCAAAACCACACTTCTAGTTATTAAAACAAATAATTTTGATTGGGGATGCACTGTTTTCCTCCAAAATTTTATATGGTAATATTTTTTACCGTATTTTGACCAATAACTGATTCTGATATAAAATAAATTATTTTGTGGATTTTGAGGAGGGAGGTACCACTTATTGTGAGATACCTTAAATTTATGTTTAAATCACCAGGCAAATGTTATTTTGTTCACAGTTTTTAAGCCCAACTTCAACTTCAACTTATTTTAGCCAGTTTTAATTAACCTAATCCTGAAATCCGTCACAACCGCAACAAACTGTCTGATCTATGTGAAAAGTTGAGGTTATCAGAATTTGTTACATAATATTAAGAAACCATGTGCGTGGTTTAACAAATCTGTTCTTTCAAATTAGTTGATCTGTCCATGTAGATTTATCCACTTAATGTTTGAGGGTAAGCAATACATTTATGTTTGTACAGTTGGAGAAATTCTTTATTCCAGGATCACTAATTTCTTGTGAAGCCATCAAACCTTTAAAACTCGAAACACCACGCCAACAGCAGAAATGTAGACAAGAAACTACAGCCCGATTAGAATCAAAACTAGAAAGTTCCTGGAAAAACTTTGACGGGGACTGCCACGCTGATTTGACTGTAATATGTGTTAGGGTTTGCTTTCAGATACCAGTATATCGATTTCATTTTTTGATTTGGATTCAGCATGTGATGGGAAACGTTCCCAGCCATAACCACCCCAAATTTCAGTTATATATGAGTAAAAGTAGCCGAGTTAAAGCTATTTAAATGGAGCTTTGGTGGCCATCTTGAATTTTTAGATTTGATTTCAGTATTTAATGGGCATTTCCCTCAGCTATTTTTTTTTTCTTTTGGCTGTTCCCTTCTTCAGGGGTCACCACAGTGAACTAACTCACACGAAGACTTGTCAATTAATTTTCCACTGGATGCCCTTCCTGACGCAACCACAGACCACCGAGCTATCCCTCTGTATGGAGCAGAGAGCTGCTGACTAGGGCGCCTGGGAAAGCAGATGGTGAGGGTTAAGGGCCTTGCTCAAGGGCCCAGAGTGGGGCAAATGTGAGTGGAGACAGGTGTGGGTACTTCACCTTTCCCACCCACATTTTAATGTGGTCAGTACCGGGAGTAGAGTCAGCGATCTTCCAATTACAGGCCAACCATCTCTAACTTATGCGCCACCACTCCCTATTTCTCTCAGCTACTAACTCGCTGAATTTCAGCTTAATAGCTCTAAAAATGGCTGTGTGATTGATTTTTTCCCTTTTAGCTAAGGCAGCCATCTTGGATATTTGATTTGCATTAGGAACGTATAATAACTCTCTCTCAGCTACGACCATACCAAATTTCTAGGGATGCATAATATTGGATTTTTGGCCGATATCCGATATGCCGATACGTTAAAACTTATTTGGCTGATGAGCAATACCAATATTGTTTTTTTCCTAGACCTACTTACAGAAAACACAGCTTTCTCTGCTGTGGAATTAAAATACATTATTCTGCATGGTCTTTGTCACTTTGGCCTGCTATCAAATGCAAATGCCCAAAAAGGGGGCTGAAAATGATGTAACACTTCAACTTGATTATGTTTAATATCAAATTTATTCATGACTTTTACTCTCTCTAACACAATGGCAACACTCGAATAGTGAAAATGTGTAAATTTTTACAAATTTAAATTCAACTTACTCGCAAGCGACAAGTGAAAAGCGCATAAGTAGTAGTGCATTAATAGATATACTTGACAGTTTCTTAAATTAAAAATTAATTTTAAACTGAAGGCTTTTATGTCTGTGAGTTTTTTTGATGGAATGACCGATGTCCGATATTTAAATTTATCGCTAATATCAGCCAATACTGATACCAAGCCGATAATATCGTGCATCCCTACAAATTTCAGCTGAATATCTCAAAAAAGGACTGAGTTATATTCAATTTTGTGTTTGCAAGCTTGAGCGAGACACAATATGGGTTCACACTTGTGAATTTTCACATTTTTACAGCGCTATAAGTCAGAGATATGACGAGCTCAAAACACTCCTCACAATTCGATCTGCAGGCTTTTTGAAAGGGAAAAACGGTGTTTGCAAATTGCGTCTCCATGGTTACTTAAAACAACAATTAAAATAATAGCACACATCACAGCGCTGAGCCGTTCATTTTGATATAACATTTGTGGAATTACACGTTGAGGTTTGGGCCGCAAGGCAGCACGGTGGCGCAACTGGTAGAGCTGATGCCTCTCAGCGAGCAGGTCCCTGGTTCAAACCCCGGTCCGGGGGCCTTTCTGGGTGGAGTTTGCATGTTCTCTCCGTGCATGCGTGGGTTTTCTCCGGGTACTCCGGTTTCCTCCCACAGACCAAAAACATGCATGTTAGGCTGATTGGTAACTCTAAATTGCCCCTAGGTGTGAGTGAGAGAGTGAATGGTTGTTTGTCTCGTTTGTCTCTATGTGGCCCTGTGATGGACTTGCGACCCGTCCAGGGTGTACCCCGCCCCTCGCACAGTGATTGCTGGACATGGGCACCAGCGACCCCCGTGACCCAAAAATGGAATAAACGGGTAAAGAAAATGGATGGATGGATGGATGGATGGTTTGGGCCGCATTAAAGTTGAAGGAAGCGTAAGACCATTTACAGGTGGCTGTCCCCAACGAGTCTCTGAACTGAGCAAATCGTAAAAATGACCAATAAAAGGTAAAAATTATTCCAACTTACACAAACTTGTATGTTTTTAATGACTTTGAACTTTGAATATTATGTAATCTTTGATGCATACATTTCTGAAGGGATTTAGATGGAGTTAGATATATTTTTTTGGTGCTTCTGGATCTTTCAGTCCAATGTTGCAATTTGTAGCTGGTCCCTGACCCCTGTTTCATCCACACTGAAGACAAAACTAAATACAACACCCGCAACAAAAAGATGACTCTACCATGTTGTTTAAAAAAAAAAAACCTCAGCAGAGTGTGTTGTTTACCTTAAATGTGGACTCACGTTTTAGAATTGCCTTTTAGTAACTCTTAAACTTCTCCGTTTGATAAAATTTCAGAAGAACCTTTTTAATGTTCGATATAGGTACCGCTGACTCTCCTCAAACTTTATTTTCACCCACAAACCTTTGCAGATTTGGAATATACCTATGATAGTGTGCAATCCTAACTTTGATTTTGCCCAAATATGTTTTGCGACAACAAAATACATTTATTTTGGCGTCAGTAAATGTGAACGAATGTGGCACAACCCACGCAGAGCAACATATAGCACATAACAAGCAACTTGTTTTCCATAAGGCATGATTAATACTGAGTGGATAAATACGTTTTCCTACTCTGAAGTCCGTTTATGATTGAACCTGAGATGAAGGAGGAGAACGATGGAGTCTCCTGGTTATTTTTACATCGGCTGATTTACGTCCGTTTAGCTCATAAAGTCAAGGTGAGGGGAATTTTATGAGACAGTGAAGCTTCCTGGTCCAGAAAATAGTTTCTCTCTGAAAGGGAGCTAAATATTCCAACTGAAGAGTTTCAGTGTGTTTATCGTTCTGTTGATTCTGAAAACACCCAATATAATGAATCATATCACAGGATAGTGTAAGTAAAGCCTGAACTCCAGGGAGGAGTGGATTAAATGTCTCACAAAGGATAGTAGGCTGGAGTTTCTCTTCCCTGATATGTGATAATATAAACACATATTTTTCACGGCCTTCAACATGAGGCTTGTCACATCCAGATGTATGAACCTACTTAATTCCTGCACATCTCAAATATGTATGAAAGTTTAAACATAATGCATACATTAGAAAACAAATCACTATTATTTGCCTATACAAAAATAAAGTTGTTGCCTTACTGGGGCTGTTTTTACTGGTCATTTAATAAATCTATTCATAAATAAATGCTCAACATTGTCTGCCAATTCATGCAAAACTTATTTGGCTGCTTGTACTTTGTAGTACTTTGTTCATTTTTTTTCTAGATGAACTCAGATGTTTTTTTTTATTTGTTTTTTTAACATTTGCTTCCTTCTGCTGAACAAGAAGTAAAAAAGAGGTTGATGAGAATAATCAACAGCACCATCACGTTAAATTGGAATGACACACTTTGAACATGATTTCATTTGGAATCTATGCAAAGGAAATTCATCAAAGAACATTAAGACGAGGAGGGAAAGATGTTGATGCCCAAGCAAATTGAATATGGATGTTACAACAGCAGGACTGGTGCTATTAGATTACATTACATACAGCTATGGTTTCATTATTAAAGGGATAGTTCAGATAAAATAGGATTTTTGGACCAAAAAAAAAAAGAGAAGAATATGTTACACATGTTGTAGGCAGCTCTTTGAACGTCTTTAGTTTAGAGAAATGGAGTTAAATCTGACTGGATTGATGAGATAAGGGTTAATCTGGTAAATTATGTTTTAAATTACCCATCCATTATCTTTACCTGCTTCTTCATTTTAATGGAGAGTCACAGGGGTCACTGCTGCCCATATCCAGCCGTCACTGTGGGGGAGGCGAGGTACACTCTGGACGGGTCTCCAGTCCATCACAGGGACACATAGAGACAAACGAGACAAACAACCATTCAGTCTCTCATTCACACCTAGGGACAATTTAGAGTTACCAGTCAGCCTAACATGCAGGTTTTTGGTGTGTGGGAGGAAACCGGAGCACCCGGAGAAAACCCACGCATGCACGGAGAGAACATGCAAACTCCACCCAGAAAGGCCCCGGGCCAGGATTTGAACCAGGGACCTGCTCGTTGAAAGGCAGCAGCTCTACCTACTGTGCCACCGTGTCACCCATTTTAATTTAGCCCCAATATCAAAGTATTTATATCAGTTCCATCTGCCATTTTTTTTAAACTTCTGTCTCCATGTGAAGACAAAAGTCTTAGGAGGTAGAACAAAAATTGC